ACACATCTGAGGTGGTCCCTGGCACCTCTGCTGATGGTGACAGTCTAGACAGGGTCTGGGCCTGCATCACGATGACTAAGCTGTGTGGGACACTGGTGTGATCTTTCTTTCCTCGTACATTCTGAACGAGTCCGAGTTTCCCAAACACGTGCCAGAGAGGAGGAGGAGCCAGAGTTGGGCCTGGTGGGAAGGGGGGCGCTAGGCAACGAACTGGTTACTGATGACGGACAAAGCGGGGTAAGCCCTACGAGGCTGATGGAGGCGACGCTCCTCATCCCGACGGTCTTCACAGCACTGCCAAAGCGACAGCTGCCCCAGGCCACCCGGCGTCAGGTGCATCCGCTCGGATCGGCCAGAAGACTCCCACCAAGTCCCATCCCCTCCTCAGCACTGGCTGTCAACCAGCTCTCAGAGAGGACACACCAGGTGACAAAGACACAGATAAAACTGCTAACCTCAGCTCTCAACGAGCTTTTCATCAGATCACCAACTGACCTCATCCCGTCCTTCTAAATTCCCCTGCTGGGATCCAGCCACAGCCAGCACGGCAGATCTCAAGCCTTTCTCCACAGTGACACAACTAGGTTCTCAGTGACGGCCGAAAATAAAAATGCCCCTATCGCACCTCATCAAAAATACAAGCAGGCAGACCACAAAAGGGGTTGTAAGTTAAAAATTCAACAGTAAAAGCTTTGATTTTTCCTTTCATTCATTCGAGGCATTTTAGCTGAATGCTCACTGTACACCAGGCACCTTAGTAGGTGCTGGGGACTCCTAGCAGGGAACAGGACAGGCACAGTGCCTCTCCTGGGGGCTTAAAAGAGGACAGATCCCTAAAGGAAAAGGCTCAGTGTTGCCATTTAAACAATGCCACCAGTTAGCTCCACGGTGCCCAAGCATGAAGGATCCGAGAGAGACGAATGTCCCAGTCACTTAAAGCCATCAAGAAACTATATTCTGATAAGAGCAGTTCAGGAGGGTAGAGCAGAGAAAACGTCTCGGACTTTCCAACTGAATACTCTTGGGATAGAGAGGTGCCTTTTCTCTAATAAAACATAAAATTAAGCATGCAAAACATAAAAGGCAGCAGCAGCTTCCCCTGGGCCCGCTTCCCACCCCTGGGAGAGGGTGACGGCTGGGGTCTTCGTGGCCTCAGAGCAAGGCTGGAGTCTTAGTCTGCTTCTCAAGCAAGTAAACAAGCAGTCTTCAGTCCCAAATGAGGAAAGTCAAAGCCAGAAATAACAGCCTGGGAGCAGGGCGCTGAAACCTTAGGAAAGGGGCCTTAGGAAAGGTTCAGCCTAATTCCCGGCATATCTGGGCATAGTAAGTGATGCGAAGTGCACGCCGACTGCCTCACAGCAGGAGCAGCACTGCGGCCAATTATTTTTGCCCTCGTCGAGGGAGCCTGTCATCCCTCCACGGAGCAATGATCTATAGGTGCCTAAGAGTTAAAAGCGGAATCTTTCCCCAATTCAGCACAGAAAAAGTGCTGCTCACAGCAATTCGACATCATTTCATTAGATGAGATTAATTTTTAAATGTGTTAGCCTAACAATTAATGCCAACTACCATGTAATTAATATTCCAACTGACTTTATAAAAATTACAAAATCCGCTAAAGAAAAGAATTAGTTGTCCGGCATGAATGAGACTTCTCTATGGCCAATGGCACATAATGCAGAAAGTTCACCACATAGTGGGGGGCATCAGCCTCCCCACTTCCTTCAGTCCTCAGCCAGCACGGAGAGCTGACAGCGGCGAGTCCTCGCAGCCTCACTCGGCATTTTAATGCACTTGCTGGTTTAAACTCCTTGAGGCTAAAGTGATGAGTGATGAAAGCCTCACGATTAAAAGGCCCTTCTCATTTGCAGCACAGGCCAGGCACACCCATATAACTGCTTGCTGCTTCCATATCCCCAGCTGAAGGTTAGAATGCTGGCTGGCTTATTTCTCAGGTTATTTCTTCAGATTTTAAAGAAATTTAACAAGACATCCTTCCCCTTGTTTTCTTCATTTTTCTCACGAGACAGACTCATAAATGCCTACATCTGGTTTTAACCTGTGGCATCACCAGGTACCCTTCCCAGAGTCTGGTAAGCAAGCCACAGTCTAATAGGACATGATCTACAGTAACAGAAATAAAAAACACATCTCCCTGCAGCCCACCTTTGAGTTACCGGCAGGGGCTGCCTCGCTCCAGAGCAGAGTCCTGAGCCCACAGCGCCTCGGCAGGAAAGAACGCGGCAGCTGATTAGTGATGTCTGCCCTGGACAAGAGCAATCGTTTGAGGACACGTGTACCATGTACTTGCCATCTCCATCCTTCAATAAACCATTAAATATCAGTGAAATGCAAACAGGTTCATGGAAAAATACACGTTGTTTCTAGGATGCGGGTTGAAGAAGGGGAGAATGTTTTCTACAGTCAGAAATCTTAGGCCAAACTGGATTAAACCATCAAGCTTCAGAGGAAAGAACACTGACCTCAGTCAGGAAATGCAAGTTCTAGTCTTGCTGTGGGGCCAGGAGCAGGTCAGTTCACTGGGCCTCGGTCTGTCAGCCATAAAATATTAAATATCAGCCAATAAATATCAACCTCTTCCTTTCTACCGATCAATGACACAAGCAGCCCCAAGTCCCCTCTCTGAGGGTGCTAGAGCGCTAATACAAGAGCAGCTACTTTATAGAGCATGACTAGAACCCTCATCTGTCCCACTGCTCACATGGGACTCACAATTTCGCAAATGCCTACATCACCAGAACCAGAGCTCCACACATACTACTTCCTTCCCTAATGCGACCTCTTTTCCACCCTGGGGCAAGGGTGAGGGTAGGGCAGGCATTTCTCTTTTTAATACTGGAACTATTAAATTCATTGAATTAAGCTACCTTCATTCAAAAGTTAAGTGTCATCATTTCAATTTAAAACCAGTCAGTCCCACTGGAGTCCCAGTCACTCGTGGTTTCAGGATCAGCCTAAGCATTCCCATCACTGAAAAGTCTCCATCATTCTGGCACATTCCGAGAACAACTTTACCCACGTGAAACATCAGCACAGCTTCCATGTCCAAACACCAAAAAGCAGACTAGGAATCCAACCAGAAATAAGCTGCACCACCCACACCATGCACCGACTGATGGCATCCCGCCCACTCACCAGGTAGACTCATGTTCAGGTGACCAAGAGCAGCCATGGGAAAACAAGGAAGCAAAACAGGACAGCCTGGGAGGGCAGTGCTGTCTGTGAAGGGCTGGGAGTCTCAGGTCTGGCCTAGGCAACTGCAACAGACACACATACTTTATTTCTTGGCCCTGCATTCCCTCCTTTTGCAAACTGCCTCTCCCCAACTCCAGGGAGCCCTACTTCCTGTGCTTCCTGTGATCCAGCGATCTGTGTCAGCCAATCAGAGACTCCTAATCAGAGAGCCCTGGGTTTAACGAGCTGTCTCAGGGGCCACCTACCAAGCAGGGCCAGAACACTTTTCCAGGGTCTGATGTGGACACCAGGAGATCATATGGTATAAGGACCATGCAAACCTACAACTGCTGGGCTATCTTTTCTACCACTTGGAGAGCATCAGGCCAACCAAGGAGAGCAGAGCAAGAGAGTAACAGATCCCCACACCATCTGCGCACCCTGATCCTCAAGACTACATTGAGTTTCTGTCACCGGCAGCCCAGAGCTTGGGAGACAAGACTTAGAGGCAAAAATGTATGCATACGAGGCTCAATGCATACGATAGCACCCCGCAATCAGTCACTTCTCTCTGAATCTCAGACTCAGTTTCCAGGGTTCCACCTAAAACCAAAGAATACTAAATACCCCTGGAGAGAAATTCAAAGAAAAAACTCTGCACACCAGAAAAACTGTCATCCAAGACCCAAGAGGCAAGGCCCACAGAAAAGAGGAAAAAACAATGGATAACTGGAGGGAGCACAGCAGTTCATGACCGATAACTGTAAGAGCCACTGTCTCCAGGGACGTAGCACAGGCTAAAGAGAAATGCTTCCAAAATCATTCCAAAGGAAAAAAACACACAGAAAAACACAACCACCCACAGCACCCAAACAAAAGGTACTTGTGGGTAAGCTAAAGGTTTCCAGGCTACGAACATAATTGGTCCTGTTCTCTTTTGACTACAGTTTAGTTTTCCTTTTACAGCCGTCTCTGCACGGGCCTGCTGCTGAAGGAAACCACAAAAGCATAGTCTACGGAGCGTGTACAAAACAATCGCCCTCAGATACGGCCTAAAGTAATTACAAAGACATGTAACAAACAGCACTCTGGCTCTCCCACCGAGGACGGGGCAAAGACAGTACAAGCAGCACAAACGACGTCCAGTGGCTGGACATTCAGACCACCAGTCCTTAACCTTCTGGGGGTTATGGGCTCCTCTGAGAATCTGACGGAAGCTAGGACGTCTTCCCCAGAAAACAAAGGTCCATACTACATTTTGTATATAATTTCAAGGGGTTCTTAAAAGCTGCTTCCTATGGCCCTGGCCAGGTGGCTCAGTTGGTTGGAGCACTGTCCCACACACCAATAGGTTGTGGGTTCGATTCTCCATCAGGGAACATACCAAGCTTGCGGGTTCAATGCCCGATCGGGGCGTTACAGGAGGCAACTGATCGATGTTTCTCTCTTACATTGATGTCTGTCTCTCTCTCTCTCTTGCCACCTTTTTCTCTTTCTAAAATCAATAAAAGGCATACCAAGTGAGAATTAAAAAAAAAAAAGGCTGCTCACTATAGCCAGCTTCCAGGTTAAATACACCTTAGATTTTTAATTTAATTACCTGAGCATCATGAATAAGCCCCAAAGACTTCAAAGGACCACACAAGAGTTCATAGGGGAATTCTAAAGCTCCCAACTCTGTAACCCCATGCTGAATCAAAACCAAAAAAATAAAATAAAAACTTCCCCTCACCTTCTGCATTCACGAAATATAAGGAAACTTGGCTTTTCCTATATTCGCTCCATTTCTGACATGTCACCCTTACCTTATTAGACCATTTATATGCCTGAAGGAGTTGACTGTAGAGAGGAGTTTTGTCCTGCACAGGATCCAGGCTTAACAGGCCACTGTTATGGAGAGGATGGTTCTCAGACGGCCTGCCTACCAGATTGCTCAGACGTTCCAGCTCGCTGAAAAGTAAACAGATAAAGCGAACCTGAGCCCTTGAATCTCCAGTGGTCAGCCCACCACACTGGTCGAAGGCTACTCTTCAAACGCCGTCAGAAGTCCTTCAAAAATAAATACTTTCTTGACAGGTGAAAAAGATTAGGGGCAATCAAGAAAACCCCTGACTGGGTGCTTATCTTATTTTAAAACCGAGCTCTCTGGTGCCATTCCAAAGGAGGGGGGGGAAAAGTTAAGAGCAGTGGAAACGATATAAATCCTAAAACTGGGATTTAACAACTAGCACTGTTCTCTGCGAGGGGGGAGGAAACGGTCTGGAATTTTGAAACATGGTTTAACACTGCTTCTCACCAAGTTTTCAGACCCACACACAGATCAGTACGTTTGGCAGAACAGCAAGTACCTGAATGAACGATTATTTGTCTCTCACATAGGGATAGATTTGTACATGGTGCTTCACAGATGGTAAAACTTAACACAACAAAGAAGAGACAAAATAAACAAATGGAATGGGACGACACTGCTGAGGGGGCTGTGTCAAGCAAACACACTTCAGTCTAGCAGGAAAACTCCAGAGACACTGGGGAAGAGAGCCAAGAGCAAAAGTACATTCCAGGAGCACGTTTTGAGGGGCCTGTCCCCAACTGTCCACAAAAGACTCTGTAGGAGCAGCTTCTCAGCCCACGTTCATTTTGGACTCTTCAGTCACCTTCTTCCTGGCCCGACTGTAGGAGGATTTAAGAAGACAATGGGGTAATGGAGACGTTCCTAACCTTTCTAAAAGGGTGAAGGGCTTTCACATCCTGAACATTACAGAAGGGAGCAGATCAGAGAGGAAATGGAAGGCAGGAAAGGACGACCAAGGCGTCCCCTCAAGCGGGGAAGAGTGCTGGCCCGAGAACAGCGAGCGCTGTGGGAGTGAGGAGGGGTATGTGGATTCCTGGCTTTCCCTAAAAAAAAAAAAG